CACCGAGGATATTTATCCCTTTCCTGCCCGCTGGGTGTTTTTGCCACCACTGCCTGTCCTGCTTAGTAGCCAGCTCGTCCTGGGCCCACAGTGCGCATGTGTGGAATGTGCACCTCACTCTCCAACGGTCTGAGGGACAGTGAACTGGCCCCCTGTTTAAAACGTTTGAGGACCCCTGGCCTACGTTAACCCCTCCCCCAACTACAGGCAGTATGTCTTAGGAAGAGTCCTCTTCCACCTGGGGAAAGGAAAGGGAAGAGCTCAAGGGACTTTGGCAACTTGGGCACCAGCTCAGCCACAGTAAAATTAAGTACCAGGCCCTCGAGTCCGAGCCTTGGTGGCATTTCTGGACTCACCCTGGGCCAGATGGAAACATGCTGCCTTTGAAGGGTGGTCCCCGGAGGATTCTTCACAGGCTAACTACAGAGCCGTGTGGCTCTGAATAAACATCTGAGGTATCCAGGCATCAGTCACCACTGGTTTTAGGTGAGACTGGACTGGCTTCAGGTGTGACCTGGCACTGATTGCCACAAGGAAGTGCCCCTGTCATTCCTCCCCAACTTCAGCAGCCCAGCACAGAGAGTGAGAGATTTTGCCTGGTAATCCAGGGAATTCTCTTGTATCTTCCCAAGGTGGTATCAACAGGAGTCTGCAAGAGTCACAGCATTACTGGGTTTGGGGCACCCCCAGTGCTGATATAGCTGCAGTGACCAGAGACTTAGAACACAATGCTCAATCCCATTTGAGTATCTGGAAAGCCTTCACAAAAAGGAAGGGTCCAAACAAGGCCAAACTGTGAAGAATTAAATTAAATACCTAACTCTTCATGCCTGGACATCAATGAACATCAGCAAGCATCAAGAACATCCAGGAAGACATGACCTCACCAAACAAAATAAGGTACCATTGACAATCCCAGAGGGATGGAGACAGATGATCTTTTCAATAAAGAACTCAAAATAGCTGTCCTGAAGAAGGCCAATGAACTTCAAGACAACACAGAGAAGGAATTCAAAAGCCTATCAGAAATATTTAGCAAAGATATTGAAACAATAAAAAAATCAGGTAGAAATTCTAGAGCTTAAGAATTCAATTGGCAAACTGAGAAATACATCAGAGTCTCTCAACAGCAGAACTGACCAAGCAGAAGAAAGAATTAGTGAGCTTGAAGACAGCCTATTTGAAAATGCACAGTCAGAAGAGAAAAAAAGAATAAATAAGAATGAAGTACACCTACATGATCTAGAAAATAGCCTCAAAATAGCAAATCTAAGAGTTACTGGCCTTAAAGAGGAGGTAGAGAGGGATTGGGATAGAAAATTTATTCAAAGAAGAAATAACAGAGAACTTTCCAAATCTACAGAAAGATACCAATATTCAGGTACAAGAAGATCATACAATAGCAAGCAGATTTAACCTAAACAAGGCTACCTCAAAGCATTTAATAATAAAGTTCCCAAAGGTCAGAGATAAAGAAAAGGTCCTAAGGGAAGCAAAAAAAAAAGAAACAAAATAACATATAGAGGAGTTCTAATATGTCTGGCAGCAGACTTCCCAGTGGAAAGATTACAGACCAGGAGAGAGTGGCATAACATATTCAAAGTGCTGAAGAAAGAAAATCTTAAACCTAGAATATTATATCCTACAAAAATATCCTTCAAAAATGAATGAGAAATAAAGACTTTTCCAGACAAACAAAAGCTGAAGATACTGGTCTGGGCAAAGACTTCTTGAGTAAAACCCCAAAGCATAGGCAACCAAAACAAAATTAGACAAATGGGGTCACATCAAGATAAAAAACTTCGGCACAGCAAAGGAAACAATCTACAAAGGGAAGAGACAACCCACAGAATGGGAGAAAATATCTGCAAACTAACCATGACAAGGGATTAATAACTAGATTATACAAGGAACTCCAACAACTCAATAGGAAAAAAATCAAATAATCCAATGAAAAAATGGACAAAGGAACTGAACAGACATTTCTCCAAAGAAGACATGCAAATAGCCAACAGGTATATGAAACAATGCTCAACATCATTAGTCAGAGAGATGTAAATCAAAACTACAATGAGATATCATCTCACGCCAGTTGAAATGCTTTTTATCAAAAAGACAGGGAATAATGAATGCTGCCAAGGACGTAGAGAAAGGAGAACCCTCATAAACTGCTGGTGGGAATGTAAATTAGTGCAACCACTATGGAAAACAGTATGGAGCTTCCTCAAGAAACTGAAAATAGAACTACCATATGACACAACAATCCCACTGCTAGGTATATCCAAAGAATGGGAAGTCAGTATATTGAAAAGATATTGGCACCTTATTATAGCACTATTCATAATAATGAAGATATGGAAGCAACCAAGTGTCCATCAACAGATGAATGGATAAAGAAATTGTGGTATATACACACAATGGACTATTATATAGTCCTGCCATTAAAAACAACATGAATAAAACTGGAGAACATTATGCTAAGTGATATAAGCCAAGCACAGAAAGACAAATTTCACGTGTTCTCACTCATATGTGGGAGATAAATATTAAAAACAACTGATCTCATGTAGACAGACGTAGAATGTTGGTTACCAGAGGCTGGGAAGTGTATGGGGGTGGGAGATAAATTGGGGATGATTAATGAGTGTGAAAATATAGTTACCTAGAATGAACTATATTCAATAGTACACCAAAGTGACTATAACCAACAATAAGTTAGGGTATACTTTAAAATAACTAAATGAGTGGAATTGGAATGTTCCTTACACAAAGAAATGTTAAACGCCTAAGGTGATGGATACTCCAGTTACCCTGATTTGGTTAATTCACACTGTATCCCGGTATCAAAACATCACATGTGCCTTTTAAAGATACAACTATTATGTACCCAAAATTAAAAATAAAACATTTTTTAAAAAGTTTAGTGTCACAAAACATTCTATTAAGAACTTGAAGAGACAATATAATTATAAGCCCTGGGTAAAGCAAACAAGAAAAATAAAATAAGCTTATGACAAAAAGTCAATGATTCCAAAGGTAAATGATATCATTGTTCAGTGCATAACCTCAATTGCTTCCAAAAATTGTTACCTCTCAATTTATTGTATTTCCTGATGCTTCACTGTCAACAAGGAAAGGAGGTGTGACATTTATTCAATCTATTTCACCCTTAAGTCTCCAAGCTTCTACATCAGGTGTTTTGAAATCACCAGTCCATTAAGTTTTCTGCATATTGCAATATATTTTACCATGGTTCATAACTTGAGAAAAACAGATAATCTCTCCATAATCTACACAAATGAACATATGTCTTGAAATATTATAGTGGTACAGGTTACTATATAGATAGACGTTGTACCTGGTTTACCACTGTTACTATTACAGAATATTTTTTGTCCAGGTTCTTTTCGTATAACAAATAATTCTTTCATATATGCCCTTGGTATAAGAATTTAGAAAAAGCTAATATATTCTTTAAGATCACAATTTAGCCATGCCTCCAACACAAGTCAAAAAAAATGGGAGGGTATTTGAGGACACAATTTTTCTTAATTATTGCTGACTTTACTATTCCTTTTTTTTTTTTTTTCCCTCTATTGGTCTTCATCTCATTACTACTGGCTAATCACTGCAGTTAATTAAGCAATTGTCAGCTGAGTCCACCATGCCCCTCTCCAAGTGCCTCCAGGTTGACATAGGTCTCTTCTGACAAAAATAAGCTTAGAAAACTTGACTTTTATGACAATATCCTTAAGAGCAGCTGTACTTTTACAATAGCCAATCTAACTGTATTTTTGAAAGCTCCCATAGACTATAAAATTAAATTCTCAACCGATGTTATGCCCATATTTCTCCACCAGAGGGAGCACAACTTGCATATTTGATGCAGGACTTCTTTTTAAAAGGGAAGTTATTTTATGCTTTGAAGAGTTCTCAAAGATCACCAATTCTTTACTTTCACAGAGAAAAGTACTATGTCTTAGATAATCTATTATAAGTATGTTGTCACACGAACCCAAAATAGACTTAGGTGTAGAACCCAGGTATGACTCTCATTTTCTCCTAGACCACACTCAACATAAGCTTACTACTGATTGCCAATACTAAGTTATTGTCAAAAGCATGGTTGGGAGCATCAATACATTTAACAAGTAATTTTATATCCAAAATAGAAATTGCTACCCACAATTCCTCTTCCATATGAATGTTTCCTTTCTTGTTTGTTTTTTTTTTAATAAGAAGTCCATTTTAATACAAGAAAAAAAGACAAAATTTGGCTTCTTTAATATCAGAAAAAAAAATCCATGGAAATTAACTAACAAATGTTTCATCCACCAAAGCAAGTTAAGAATCTTATTTGATTTTAGAAAAGCTCTGACATTTTTTAAAGATCATATCCAGCCAGGCATGGTGGCTTACACTTATAATCCCAGCACTCTGTGAGGCCAAGGTGGGAGGATCACTTCAGGCCAGGAGTTCGAGACCAGCCTGGGCAACATAGTGAGACCCCATTTCTACCAAAAATATTTAAAATTAGCCAGGCATGGTGGTGCATGCCTGTAGTCACAGATACTCAGGAGGCTGAGGCAGGAGAATCACTTGGGCCTAGCAATTCAAGGCTGCCATGAGCTATAATCTTGCCACACACACAAATCATATCCATGGGACTATTTGCCCACCAGGTACAACTGAGCTGACTTCTCCCTGGAGTAGCCAGTTCCCTGTTGGAGCCAACTGTTGTTGGGCCCAACTCTTTGGCCAGATATGGAATGACACAGCTTCTGAAAAGCTTGTAGTCAGTTCCACTTCAAGACTGATTTTGTTTGCAAAATATAAATGGAAGAAAACATCCCCTTCTGCCTGACTGGATTCCCCTGCAGGCTCAGGAAAGCAAGGGCAATCTCGCCAGCTGGGTAGATGGGGAGATAAATCAGAGTCGGTCACAATTTCAAGATAAATAACGGAGACAGAGAGTCAACACCCCAGTCAGATCTTCTTACCTGCTGGATGGCATCTGAACCTTTTCTTGGAGTTTCCAAAACAGCAGATTGAGATTCTGGATTACAAAGGAAGCAGACAGTCAATATCTTAAAGAACAAGTTTTCCTATTTCCTCAGTCAGAAAATAAAACTTTCACTAAAATATACCTTTAACCATACATACCAAAAATATCCAGTCTCTCTTCCAATTATATTATTGGATTATTAGGATATGACTACCTTTCAGTATATATAACACATATAATGATGAACACTCATGTTATTAGTTATTTTAAAATATTGGAATAGTCCTATGCCCTTCTTTACACATCGACCACAATTATTTGTTTCAGTTGCTACGTTCTATATTGTGCCAGGAAGTCCCTAAGACTTTCACTTACTATTCACTAATCTAACATCTGTGCCATGGATCTTAAAGGATGTGGCCTCAAAAGTTGGATCTAACTATAATAAATTATCTTTGGATTTCACGGAGAGATGATGGGCACTGTCACCAAGAGGCACTGAATACGACTGGATCCTGAAGGAATTTTGCTCCTTTGGTCTTTGTACCTGGGATTCTACGAGACTGCAAATTCATCACGCTGGAAAACCTAAGGGATAAAACCAAGTCCTGGATTTTTTTTTACTTTAAGCTAGAGGGCACTTTCTAAGTGAAGCTTGCATACGAATTTAAAAACATAAAAATAAAAATGAAAAGGCCCTCAGGAATCCCAAGTGTTCCGTGGAGTTGAGTCTGGAAACCACTGATCTCGTCCATCTTCCACATTTTAGAGACGAGAAACCCAATGCCCATAGTGCAAACAGTTGGTGGCAAGGTGAAGACTAGAACTTATGTCTCCTGTCACATTCCCCCCACCCCCGACACTGGCCTGCAGACCAGACCCCGGACACAAGACACAGTAGCCACTCTTCATGGCCACCTCAACATCCCCAATTTAGCTGCATCGTAGCTGATGTGCACGACAATGCTACAGAAAAATAAGACGTGTGGTATTTAAACGGCAAAACATATTACTAAGCTACGATGAAAGTTTTTCACTTTATTCTGAGTCTCAGCCTCTCCCTGGGCCCACCGGCCTGGTTCCATCTGCTGTCATCCCTCACCTCTCTAACCGCCCTCTGTCCCCACCTACTCACGATGCTCTGCTGGCAGCTTACTGTGCTCTAAACACTGGTCGCACTTCTTCCACAGGGCCTCAGAGCCACAGCCAGCTGTTGCCTTTGCCCAGAATGATCACCCTTCCTCCTGCTACCTGCCTGCCCACCTTCTGGGCCCCTTCTCACGGGGCTTTGCCCCAGCCTCTCTGGGCATCTAAAGGAGCAGCTCCACCCCCACCCACTCCTCAGCACCCCTACACCCTGGCCTTACTTCCTCATTAACGTGGACCATCACACCACATGGCCCGTAATTCCCTTGCTTGTGTACTTATTTATACCTCTTACTCCACCAGAACATAAGCTCCATGAAAGCAAGGGTTTCTGTTGATTTTTCTCCCCTCTTGTAGCCTCAACATCTAGCTAACGCCTGGCACGTAGCAGGCGCTTAACATATCTGTTGAGTGATTACAGGAGTGAATGAAAGAATAAATGAGAGATCCACACAAAGATCAGACCATGAAAGTGGGTGCTACTATGCAAAGTGGGATATTCTGGGGAAGGAAAGAGGGAGTAATGATTTTAGGAGAGGCAATATAGATACTGCCTTGCCTTTAGCTACTTTCTAAACCTCAGCTAAGAGTGTATTTTTCAAAACAAAAATCATTGAGAAGTGCATGATGTAGTCCCTTACCAACAGATGTCAGAGTGGCAAGAGAATATAAACAAAGTAGCTTTAAAATACAACCATTTCCCCAAATACTGCATTTGATTGAGCTGATCAAAAAGGGATTCTTCTTTCTTACAGTGGCAATTCTCTACTCTGAACTGAACACCAGGGTTAGCCAAATTTGAATAAAGATCTTTAACAGCACAGCTAGTCAAAGAGTTAATATTAAAGCAAATCCAAACTCATTTTCTGAGATTTTTTTGTGTGTGTGTCACTTCCAAATCCTCCCAAACACAATAGACTCAAGACAAGCACTGACTTTGTACCAATGGAGGAAAACTTTCTCTTCCTCTTCTTTCTGATAGTGCCATAAGATTCCAAAGGATCTTCTGGTCATACACTAAGAATTCCTTACATTAAAAATGTTTCTCAGCTTTCTCTATAGTCCTTGACATGGTGACCGACCTGTCCCAAAGAGCAAACTTCTGGGATCTGATAATAAATAAGAACAAAGTGTAGTTTGGCAGAACAATGGACTTAGAAAACAATGTTTATTAGAACGATGTGTCAGTGAAATATTCTGGAAACCTACACCCGAACCTGCAGTTTCCCTCTTTCTAATTCAAAGCTTACCTGAACTGAATTCATTTTCCCAGCCCCATCACTACATATTTTATTTCCTTGAATTCATGTGTTAAAATATCTAAGAGAAGTTTAGATGTCAAAATGCTCTCTTCGAAATCCTAAGCTGGAACACAGGGGTTCTCGAGAGCCAAGATTTTAAGAGGAAAGAGATGCACAGAATAATGTTAATGCAAAATAAAGGGGAAATGCATGAGAACCACTAAGAGGAAAGAAAAATACAGGTTAAAGAGAAAAAATAATAGGGAATAAAAGAAAGCAAGAAAATAGAAGAAAGACGGTATAGGGAGGAGAAAATAAAGGGAAGCATGAGAAATGGCAAAGAGCTTCCTGCAGGGAGTGGCGAGATGTCAGCCTGCCGGGAGCAAATAAGGAAACTGGCCTCTCAGTGATGGCTCAAGACTAGAGTCCCTGGGCCTGTGGACCTGACAGATCAGGTTAGTTCCAACATTCACAGAGGTCCCCAAACACAGACTCCAATGCACTTTTTACCAACACTGTCCTCCTCCCAGGACTGGGGGCAGTTTCGAGAACCCAGAACCGCCCTAAACCCAGCTCCAGGACTGGCCAGCAGTCTGCATTAAACATTCATCAACTAGGATGGTTAATTAACCCTTTGCACTCGCTTGCTTTTTTTCTCTTGCTCCCACCAATGCTAACTGTGTAGAGTCACACTCCACATCTGAGTGCAAAGGGTTAAAAAGTGAGAGCACTCTCAAGGGTACACTTAGAACTGTCACCTCCTTCACTCATCCCTAAAATTAAGAAGCTAGAATTTAAAAAAAAAAAAAATCATTGTGAAGTAAAGAGAGAGAAAACATTTTCCTGATAAAACTTAAAATATAGCATTTTTTAAAGTTACCTCATAAAAATACTGAGCATACTCTAAAATTCTGGGCTCCCTACAATTCCAAATATGTTTCAGAAGAAATCTCTATATCATCATAAAATAAGTGTATCACTCATAAAATAAAGCATGCTTGAATGAGTTATATATTTGTAGAGAGAAGACAATAAGATAACGAGGAGATGCCTCTCTGTTAAGAATGGAAAAGAAATTAAATCACCCCCTTTAAAAAATATACACATTATGCCTCCTAAAAATGAATTAAGTGGCCTCTAGATAGTTTTACATTTTAAGTGAAAATTCAGTTATATAAAATTATTAAATTATAGCTTTTTTAATGGTATACATCAATTTGATTCAAATCTAGCCAATTTAGTTGAAAGATAATTCATTAAACTTTACTTAAATAGCAAGACTTATGATTGGCTGTCTAATAAATGGTAGGTGTTTTTCATTCTGATACACTATGTTCTTCCACAAATGAAGTTGGGGTTAAACACTTAAGTCTTCCTAAACGGGGCCAATCCTATGTTCTTCTTATTTGATTATTTAATAGTATAGTGGATCTGCCCCTGATAACCAAGAAAGTACATCCACACCCAGGCTTTGGCTCACTAAAGAGAAAATGCAGGCCAATTTTATAGTATACATACACACATATATATATATGCCTATATATGCCAAAAATGGAGAATTTATCTGTAGGAAACACAGTGGACCTATTCTAGTACATTGTATCTCTTGATCAAGTGAGAAGCTTGGAGAGAGAGAAAACACTATCAACTCTCTCTTGGCCCTTTATAGAATTTCTGTGCCACCTCAAATGAACATGTGTTAAATAAAGCATTTGCACAACACATAGAAATGAGTATTTGTAAACTCTGTATTTGGAATTAGATCACACAGAATCTCCATTCTTAGGCCATTAGAAACACTCTTTGGGATATTAGAGCCAGACAAGGAGTGCATCTCTGAATGACTGTTGTTTCCAAGCACATGGACACTTCTGGATGATCCAGAATTGTTCATATTCCCCTTTCTGCTTTGAACCCGAGGATAAATTTCCAATTATTTTTAAATACTTGAAGATCCCTATGAGATGCATTTTTCCGTGTCCTAACTTATCACAGCTTCATTTTATTCCATCCTAAAATCCTTTCAGTCTGATCTATATGCCTTTGTGATATTTTTGTACACCTTAGATATTTATAAGCTGCTCAAATCCTTTCTGGAACAAAGGTGGGTTATATCCATTCAGCTAGCACATAACCACATTCTTTTTAAGGATTTCTTACATAAAAGGTTTCCGCCATGTTTCTACCAGATCTTCCTCCATATGTTTTCTTCTAGGATTTTCTGTGCTCGAGTTGCCTTTCTAAATTCATCCTGTTCACTCTCTTGGCCATTCACATTTTCAAAGATAGCTAAGGAACTTGATTCTCCATAGATAAAACAACCAAAGCTCAAATCCCTATTCACATCTACACACCATGCTTCTGGTTCTTCCTGAAGTTGCAAACTCAAACTCATTATCTCTTTGATTTTGTGTAAGTCTACTGTATTAAAGCCCCTAAAATGGTCCATGAACTGTTTTGTTTTAGCACACACCCAAAACTTCCTCAAGTCCTGCATTCCTCTGCTAAGTAGATTTTTTTTATTTATTTAGACCTTTGCCAATAAGACCAAAAGGTCTTGAAATGCTGGAAGTCTATAAGACAGACATGTATGTATAAACAGATAAATGTATAATATTTAAATAATTCAAATGGCAGAGATATAAATAAAATGTCCTGGGACTCCAGAAAACAGAACAACTATAGATGGGTAGGTAGATGCACTGTGTGAGCAAAGGAAATGGAGAGAGAAGATAAAGATAAAACAAGATTTAAGGGAAAGGTTTTCTTCTTATCAGTTTCTGCTACCAACTGCTGGAGCACATTACTTCCTAACTTTTTTTTGCAACCAGGCTTATCCTTCCAGGAGGTTTTCTATAGACCTGAAAAGGTCAATTTTAACACCTTGGGCCCCTTTGCTGAGACAATACCAACTGCATAGGGAGATAGGAACAAAAGATTCCCAGGAATCTGCAGCCCTTCCACAACTCACAGGTTCACCTTGGCCTCAGCACTGCCAATGCATACGATGAAGGCTCAGTTCCTTCACCAATATGTGAAGATGGTGAAAAACCTCTTTCACAGGGAAAAATGAAAGTGAGATACATGAGAAAGGCAGAAGAGGGAGTACTACAAATCTGAATTAGCTGGATATGTGAATTAGTAACATGAACTGGAAACCAAAAAGTAAAAAAAAAAAAAAAAATCAATTTTCTAAGTTGAATCTGCAAGTCTTTTTCTTCGAAAAGAAAAAAAGTCGTCAAACTCGTTTACTTTAAAGTAAAATTGAAAGGGGCCACACGTTGCATATAGTGGTTTTAGCCATGATGTCACTACACTATACAATACAGTGTAGCCAGTTAAGTGCATTGCAAATAGCTTATTACTATTAATAATTGTATTATCAAAGCTTGTAATTGATATGAAACATGAGACTCTCGGCAAGGTTTTCCTTATAATATTGACATTCTTACTCTTACAATTGACCGTCCTACTAGAAGAGAGTGTGGTATGGCTGTCCAGGAATGAGACTGCCCCGTGGAAATGTCTTTCCAAAGGGATGTCATAGAGTCACAACAGGAAACATTTAGAAATCACCATTAGATCACTTTGGACAAAAGAATGCTCCAGGGCTTTAGGGTTTATAACAGGTCAACTAGAGGAAAAACAAGTCACTACGTTAAATTACTTTTTACTTACCTTCATCATCCTCTTCAAGAATGCATATTTTAAAAGGAGAAAAGTTAACACATTAAAAATTACTTCCTCTAGCATTTGGCAAGCTACATCAAATCATAAAGAAAAAAACTAGGTGACAAATTTCCTGGTATCAATTCCAGCTACCATCGTTTACCAAACTACAATTCAGATTACCACTTTCAATTATTAACTTTTAATCAGTGTTCTTCCAGTACATGTAACTAGTGACATAAAGTGTTTCAGAATATTTTTAGAGTACCCTAAAATTTTAGAATATAAGTGTTTCAGTTAGAGAAGTTGAAAAAGATACAGCAGGGAACAAAACACACGAAAGGATCACCCGGCTCTACAACGCAAAACCCAGGATATGAACTGTTAAAAGGGATCTCCATGTAATCAATTAATTCTACTGTATCTATACCTAGAGTATTTTGTACCAATAAATATTTTTTAACAAATAGAATGGTGCATATAATAATGGGATTAATAATTTAATAACTGTGTGCTTTTCCTTTTAAAACAAAAGTACTTTTACTCACTTGCTTTATTTTCAGGTGCTATGAAAGCCCTCATCTTTGAAGATCTTTGCTTTAGACCAAGACTCTGCCTTGGTCTTTGATCAACTGCTCTCTATAAGTGTTATGATAAACTAAGAGTCCCACATAGAACAACATTTCCTGGATCCTATCTCTCATTTGTTGTTCATTTTTGGGGGGAAAGCTCACCTAGTGAACAGTCGGCAGCATTTTAAAAGCACTGGACACTGAAGGAGGGAGATTCAAGGTCAAGTGTAGGCTCCCATTTAGTGCATTGGTAGAAGGAAAAAAGGCGTAAATACATCCCTCCAGAGGCTGGAATAAAAATAGGAGGCTAGGCTACCTTTGCTGGACTTCAGGAAGTAGCCTAGATAAAAACCTTTTACACTGTGGATCATTGTTTGTTTTGAAGGGAGTTCATGAGGAAGATAGCATGTAATAAAGATAATAATAATTATAATAGTAGTAAATATAGTGAGCCAGGGACTGCATTCTACATTCTAGTGCTTTACATAAACTCACATAATCCTCAAAATAGCCCTAGCAATAGATGCTAGGCTCATCACCATCTGACAGATAGGGAAACTGAGTACAGTAGCTAGGAAATTCGTCTAAGATCACAAAGCTCATAAGTGGCAGAGAACAAGCACCATGCTCTCATGTTATGCACTTTCACTATAAGTCCAAATTAAGTTTCTAATGACTATCTTCCTGTCTATGAGCCAATGAGAAAAAAACCTCAAAATTCTTAATCCTAGTATTTGTGCTACCATTTAGGAAAATCTGGTGGGGAGAGATCCATGAATAGCAATGCTGCCCTTTTATTTACTCTTCTCTCATGCATCAGAAAAGTCAATATTCAGTCTTGTTCAGTCCACCAAGGGAAGCTGGGAATTTATCACATCAAAATGAAGAAAAAACAAGGGATAAAGCAACCAAATCCCATAAGCGTTGTTACATACATACAACTCTCAATTCTGTATGAAATATATAAAGTGTTTTCCTAGAATTGGGCGTGGAGATCATCTGAACTCCTCCAAGTACAGCTGATGCTAATCTCATGCTGTCTTCCCTGCCAGTAATACAGAATACTTTAAGACAATGAAAGAAACAAAAACAGAAAAGAACCAAAAATTAAAATTAAAAAAGATCACATCTGAATGCTGTGCAATTACAAAAAAGGTCACTTAAAACTGAGATTTAATAAAACTTATGTCTATCTTGCCTCTCCTACTTATTCTCTGATGATAAAGAAAGGATTAAGAAAAGCACACACACAAAAACACAATGAGTGAAGAGATTCAGAGGGAAGTGGTAAGGTCACTCCTTTGAAGGCAAGAGACAGAATGTCTCCTCCTTGGGGCTCCTTGGTCCAAAGTGGATGTGAAGCTTCAGCCTACAGTGGTGGCCCCAGCTGGGTGCCTGGAGGCAGTGGCTCTCCAACTTCAGTACAGCAGCCATGATTGGAGAATGCCAGGGTTCTGTCCCTAAAATTCCAATTCAGCAGCCTTGAACACGGGGCATAAGAATCTTCAATTTAACAAGCCTCCAGTGCTGTAATTTTAATTGGGTTAGCTGAAGATTATACTCTAAAAAAATACTTAGAAGGGAAACCTAGACTCACTCACTACTCAGCAAGCAGTGCAAACATACATCATGTCACACACTTTCAGAACGTCCTCTGTCCTGCCGTCCTACCTGTTTCCATGGGTCTGTGTTCTTCTTCAGGAGGCTTAGATGGTGCCCATGCAGATGGAACCCGCCTGGGAAACTGTCCTTCAGAGTAATCCAGTGAGTGTGTGGGTTGACTAACTGCAGCCCAGGTGTAAAGCTGATCTTGCTGTATTAAAAAAAAAAAAATTTAAATGCTGAAAATTCAATTATGAAAAAAATAAGCCTTAACTAACTTATTGCAAAATCATTTCTATGAAAATCACTTGTATATGGCATTAAAACAGCATTTTATATATTCAAAGTAGATTTCTAAGATACACATTTCTTTCACAGAGTCATTTTTTTTTTTTTTGTAACCCTACCTGTCTCCACTTTTTTTCTATAGTAAAATCTAGTCTCTTTGGAGGGAGAGATGCTTCATAGGTCTGCAGGGAATTATAAGGTCAGATGATTCAATCAGAGAACTCCCTGAACTAGCATCTTAAATTCATTTGAATATGGTGTCCCTTTAAGAATTGTTTATACACCTGTGAAAATGTCAAAGGACAGGCTGTACTTGGGCACCAAAGGACAATAGCAGCTTCTGTACTTTCAACAGTGAAAGGCCCAGGAAACCCACTTATTTGGGGTCCAGGTTGGAAACTGTTTGGGAGAGAAACCATGAAAAAATAAATGAACCAAGAATAAAAGAACTAGGCAAGGATCTTCTGGCCAAGAGAAGCCTTGCCAGATACAAAACAACAGAATCCAGACAGACTGAGAAGGTGGCTTGTAACTATATCTAGAGCCAGGGGTCAAAGTATAATTCTCACAAACGAGGCCACTTCGAGGCCTATAACACCTTGGAAATCTGCTCATTAGGATTTCAGAATGACAAGTTCAACCGTTTTAGGATGCATATGTTCAATATATGCATGCCCTATATTTGTAGCATTTTCCTTACTCAGATATATTTCCCTAATATATTTGATCAACACAAAGTAAAGAGAAGAACAGTATGGTGGAGAAGAAAAACAAAAAACACACTGTCATCACCAAGTTGAGGCTAGAAAGTGAGTTAAACCAATAGACAGATGTTGCTATTTCTGTAATTTACTGAATAAATCCATAAAATAGTCTTCAACATCAATAGGATATAATGTATAGATCAGTTAGTTTAAGTTTTACATTTATGGATAGTCATTGCCCTAATTGAGAATTCAGATTCCCAGGGTGAGCTAGGATTGTATTACAAAGGGCCACATTGCAGACTCAGCTAAGCATTTCAGCTATTTATCTTTCAGCTATTTCTATCTTGATCAACACCAGAGGCTTAGCTATTTAGCATACTGAATATCAGAAAGAGCTTTTCATTGGTGAAATTAGTGGCTTATTTAATTAACATAATAAATGTTGGGCATGAGCTCTCTCATTGGAGAACCTGAAGGAATTCAATGCAAGTAGACTGGCTACAACATCAGAGAATTTACCCATGTTTGAAAAGGTTAAGACTCAGTCAAAGATGATGTCAAGGCATAATACCCCATCAGCATACATCCAACTACTAGTTTAGGAGGATGTCTCTTTGCCTGTTGCAAACAACTAGGCACAGAATCCTGCCTTCTTCGTTTCTGTATCATATGAAACTTTCATGCAGATGTGTTCAAGCACCTACCCAAGTAGCAAGCTGGACATGTTCTGACCTCTCGGGAGGACTCGTATGGGCTCTTGCACATGCTAATGTTGTGTGTTTAATAAATGTCTATGCTTTGGGCAGAATTTCATTTGAGATTTGCTTTCATCAAAACCCAGTAAACCCATAACATCATATACAAAAATTCAAAATGGATCGAAGACCTACAACTATGAAACTTTTAGAAGCAAGCATAGGGGAAAAGCTTCATGACACTGGTTTTGTCAATAAGTTCTTGAATATGACAAGGCACAAACAAGAAAAGTAAAAATCAATAAACTGGACTACATCAAAATTTAAAACTTTTATGCATAGGACATTATGCAAGGACATAATCAACAAAGTGAAAAGGCAACTTACAGAATGTGAGGAAATACTTGCATATCATATCTGTTAAGGGTTTACTATCCAGAACATATAATGGACTCCTACAACTCAACAAAAAATAACCTAATTTTAAAATGGGCAAAGGACTTGAATAGACTTATTCCAAAGAAAATGCACAAATGGCCAACAAGCACATGAAAAGATGCTCAATATCACCAATGATTATGGAAATGCAAATGAAACTATGAGATATCACCTTACATCCATTAGGATGGCTACTATAAAATAAAAAAAACAAACAGAAAATACATGCTAGCAAGAATGTAAAGAAATTGACACGTTTGTGCACTACTAATGGTAATATAATAGCATAGCTGCTATGGAACATATATAGCAGTTCTCAAAAAATTAATAATAGAATTACCATATGACCCAGCAATTGCACTTCTGGGTATATAGCCAACAGAATTGAAAACATGATCTTGAAAAGATATTTGTATACTCATATTCATAGCTCCATTGCTCACAACAGCCAAAAGATGTTATAACCCAAGTGTCCATCCATGAATGAATGGGTAAACAAAATATGATATATATATATATAACAGGATATTATTTAGACCTTGAGGAATAAACAGGAAATTCTGACACTGCTACAACGTGGATGAACCTTGACACACTATGTGAAATGAAACAAGCCAATTACAAAAAGACAACACTGTATGATTCCACTTATAATGAGGTAACTAGAATAGTCAAATTCATAGAGTTAGAAACTAGAATGGTGGTTTCCAGGGACTGAAGGGAAGGGTAATAGGGAGTTGTTGTAATTTAACTGGTACAGAGTATCTGTTTTACAAAATGAAAGTTTCTGGAGATTGATTGCACAACAATGCAAATATACTTAACAATGCTGAACTATACACCTAAAATGGTTAAGATGGCAAATGTATGTGTATTTTACCACAATTAAAAATTTAAAAATAAATTTTAAAAAAGCAGTAAAAATCACAAGGTTGTCAGGGAGTAGCTAAGCCTCACCTACTCAAGGGTTGTGCATGATTAAATTGATTTAGTTGAGTTCTTAACAGGTGACATGGATACAGCTGTGGCTCAAGAAAAGCAATGAAATGCACCTCCCACTCCACCATCCCTCACCCTCCAGTGAGTGGTGATGATATCTACGTTAACTACATTTAGGAACTTACCTACTCCACACAGCCACTGAAAATCTCCCCAAAAACCTATTTTAAATCTTTGCAGCCATTGCCTTCCTGACATTTTCCAGTACAGCAGAATCCATGGACATGCCTGTAACAGCATGGTTTTGCAAAGAGGACACAGAGGCTCAGCCTCTGAACCAGACAGACTTGGGGTTCTACCTCAGCACTACCACTTCTGTGAGCTGAAAGAAGTTAACTGAAAAACTTCTGCATCTCAGTTCCTCATGTGTAAACTATGACATGCAGCATGCTTAGCAAGTACAATACTTAGTAAATATGATGCTTAGTAATTACTATGGGGCTGTGTTCTCAGTTCTATTCCATTGGTCTATGTCTCTGTTCTTGTGCTGACATCATGCTGTTTTACTTGCTATAGCCTTGTAGGATAGCTTAAAGTCTGGTAAATGGATGCCTCCCAATTTGTTCATTTTTTTTTTTTTTTGAGACAGAGTCTCGCCTAGAGTGAGTGCCATGGCATCAGCCTAGCTCACAGCAACCTCAAACTCCTGGGCTCAAGCGATCCTTCTGTCTCAGCCTCCCAAGTAGCTGGGACTACAGGCATGAGCCACCATGCCCAGCTAATTTTTTCTATATATATTAGTTGGCCAATTAGTTTCTTTCTATTTTTATAGTAGAGACGGGGTCTCGCTCTTGCTCAGGCTGGTTTCGAACTCCCGACCTCGAGCAATCACCCGCCTCAGCCTCCCAGAGAGCTAGGATTACAGGCGTGAGCCACCCCGCCCGGCCCAATTTGTTCATTTTGATTAAGATTGCTTTGGCTATATGGGTCTTCTCTGGCTCCATACAAAGCGTAGAATTATTTTTTCTAGATCTGTGAAAAATGATGTTATTTTAATAGGGATTGCATTGAATCTGTAGATCACTTTGGCTAGTATAGACATTTTAACAATGTTGATTCTGCGGACCCATGAGCATGGTATATTCTTCCATCTGTTTACTTCCTCTGCTATTTCCTTCCTCAGTGTCTCATAATTCTCCCTGTAGAGGTCTTTTACCTCCTTAAATATATTCCTGGGTATTTTATTTTCTTTACTGCTGTCGTGAAGGGTATCGAGTCTTTGATTTGGTTCTCAGTTTGACTGTTGTTGGTATATAGGAATGCTACTGATTTCTGTACATTGATTTTTGTAACCTGAGACTTTGCTGAATTTGTTTATCAATTCCAGTAGTCTCATGGCAGAATCTTTGGGGTTTTCTAGATATAAGATCATATTATCAGCCAAGAGTGATAGCTGCCTTTGATGTTTAGACTTCTAATCATCCTAGAAAGGTGTTTTATGTTTGTGAAACAATCATATCTTTTTCATATGATATGAAACTATCCAGTTGACTCCTTCCCATATATTTAAAAGGCTCCATGACATTACTTTTTAGTACTACCTTTCTCATTAATCAACCATTTATATAGCTGAAAGTCTGTTATGTGGTTCTCTCAATTCCGCTGTGTTTATGTATTATTAGAACATACTTGCACAAATATTAGAATGCTTAATTATTGTTGCATTATAAGTCTTGATATTTGAATTACTAAGTCTTTCCATGTTGTTTTTAAAGATTATCTTGCTTATTCTGGGCCCTTCCAATATAAATTTTGGAGCCAATGTGTCATATCACACTAAAGCACACACATGCACATGTACACACACACCCCTGGGTGTTGATTAGAATTGTATCAAATCTATCAGTTTGGAGAGATGCGAAATAACTGAGACTTCAAATCCATAAATACACACAGAGTCATCACACTTAAGTCATTTCCAGTTTTTCTCATTGAGGTTTGATAGGTTTCTGCATAGAGGCCACACACATATTTATTCAGTGTCTTCTTACATATTTGATTTTTTAATGCTGCTTGAAATGTATTATTTTTAAAGTATCAGTAAAAGTTTCTGTTTGCTGTTAGTGAATTGATTTTTGCAATAC